TAGACGCGAAGATCACGCTAATCGGAGTTACGGGGATCAAATTATAACTATTCAAAGTTAAGAACAAAATGATCAAATTTTATTTCTGGAAACAATGGCTTACATGTTACTAATACGTAGATTATGAAAATACGAATCTAACGCAACTTGAACGGGTCAAATCGGAGTTAAAACGAAAAAGATATGGCCTAATGAAGATAGTGACAAATTTGTAAATATTTTAAAATCAATTTCGTATTAAAAATAATTAAAAACCGAATTAAAACAGTCCTGAGGACCGGGCGTCATTTTTGGAAAACTACAAGGGCTGAAACAGAAAATCTAGGGGCATATGTTGAATTATTTTCAACAGAGGGTGGACTGCGGGTTGATTACGCGAAACAGCAGGGGGCTAAGCGCAAAAGTGCGGCGGTGGGTCGGGTCGACCAGGTCAGCGACGACGTGGCGTAAACCGTTTGGGTGGAGGCTGTGAACCGGCTATGGATCGAGAGGAACTGTGCTAATGGACCTAGTCTACTACTGTTGCGGTGGACCGGTTAAGGTACGAAGGGGTATGTTCTAATCCTGATCGTTCCACCTAGATCGGATGGCTACCAAGGGTTGGGAGGATTCCTCCAGCCGACACAGTGTCTTCGGCGTGGTGGCTTCCATGGCTGGTGACGCAGAGCCCATTGGCGAGCGTGAAAATGGTCCTAGAGACCACGGGAAAGCAAACCGGTAACACGAGGAGAACGAGGACGGAGAGGCAAACTCACTCAGGTAGTTTTCGCGGTCGGAGATGGCACAGAGGTGACGCGAGATGCGGCGGAGCGAACGGCGAGCACGGCGGCGCTAGGTTACGCGGTGGCACAGTGATTCAGCGAGGTGGCTGCGACTCCGAGGCTTGGGATGGGGAGGCACGGCCGCGGGCAGCTGCTATTTATGGCCCCGAGATGCTTGGGAGGCACGGCAGCATCGAGGCGTAGGCAGAGCGAACTTTTTATGGCACCGTGGAGTCCGACGCAACGACGAGGGTGGGGTAAGAGAAGCGACTGATAGCTGGGGCCCACCGGTCGGCGACCGAGAGAGAGAAAGGAGCGGCGCGGTGCTGGGCCGGCCTAGTGTGGGCCACGCGGGGAAAGAAATGGGCCGTGGGGAATGAGGGGGAGCGGAGCAGGCCTGAGGGAAAGAAGGCCAGGCCGGCTGGGCCGAAAGGAGGGAGAGGAGAGGGAAAGGGCTTTTTTTCTTTTTCTTTTTCTATTTTGTTTTCAAAACCAAATTCGATCATAAACCAAATGCAAATCCAAATATAGTTTCAAATATACTTTTCAAGATGAGAACATTTTGGGAGATTTTCAAAACTGAACTTTTGCAAACTTTTAAAAACTCTTTTATTTTCCAATTCTCTTTTTCGTTTCTTTTATTTTAAAGCTATTTTCAAATTTATTTTCAAAAGCAATTTAAACCATTTTGAATTTTAATCAGAACCACTCAACCAATTAAATCAAATGCACCGGCATGTATGCACATCCATGTTGCTACTCCTTATAATGAATTCTAATATAATGAAAAATATTCTTTTTCCTATATTTCATGTGCACAAAAATTTATAAATTAATCATTTTAAACCTATTTTCAAAATTAAAATTTTTAGGGTGTTACAGTTTGGTGCCATAAATTTTAGTACTCTTTCCTATAAACTTGGTAAAACTTAAAAAGAGCTTGATTTAGGACAACTCTGTGAATTAATTTATTTAGAGATAGGCGTAGAAAGTGGACTTCAAAGTTGTGGAAACCGGTGTTGGATCAAGCACTTTGAATTTAAGTGCTCGGAAGGGGTGCCCGAATACTCGTGGTTGGAAAGCAAGGGCATTCGCTTGGGGGTATTCTGGTTTTGGATTCTACTCAAGACGACCCATCAAAAAATATTTGTCATGACGGGTCAATGCCAAAACTTTTACTAGATATGGGTCCGGTCTATGAGTAAACCAAATCTGAGGCACCTTCATTTTTTATTTTTATTTCTTTTTGCTGCTTGAACTGTAGCTTTGACACTTTTTTAAATGTAACCTTTCTATATAGTGTTACTTTTATAATAATTGCCAAAAAAATTTAATTCTAAAAGCTCATTAAATTAATAGTTCATCCGTTTTTTACTTATAAGTTGATTTAGTTTTTCCTAAGTTAAACTTATCTAATTTTGAACAGAAACACATTCCTCTTTTGATTTTTCTATCAACTTGATCAAAGCTATAGGGCCTGACTTAGGATAGAACAAATTTCTTATTATTTGAAATAGATAAAGTACTGTTAAAAATATTTCTCTTGTAGAAGGAACATGTTATTAGAAATTTAATAGTTTATTAAAACTATTACACTATGCAATGAAGTTGAACTTTTTATTTGACTATGTATACTCTTAATCTATAAATAAATTAATTTCTAGAGTTATCTTAAGTCAAATATTTTCAAGTTTGATTAAATTTGTAGAAAAACACAACAACATTTATGATGTTAAATTAATATATTATAAAAGTATTTTTTTTCATAGCGTATCTAATCATATTAGTTTGGTGCCATAAATTTTAGTATTCTTTCCCAAACTTAAAAAAGCTTGACTTAGCACAACTCCGTGAATTGATTTGTTTAGACATAACCATAGAAAGTGGACTAAAAAGTTGTGGAAACTGGTGTTGGACTTTTGTCAATTTAAGTGCTTGGAAGGGGTGCCCGAGTACTCCTGGTTGGCAAGCAGGGGCGTTCCCTTGGGTTTTTTTGTTTTGGATCATACCCAAGCCGACCGATCAGAAATATTTGTCGTGATAGGTCAATGCCAAAACTTTTACCAGATATAGGGTCTGGTCTATGAGTAAAGCAGATCTGCGGCACCTTCATTTTTTTTAGAAAAAAAAATATTGCTGTTTGGACTGTAGCCTTGACACTTTTTTTAGTAAGTATGATATGTAGAGCCTGTTTATATATTTTGACACTGTTCTTTTTTTAGATTAAATGCAACTGAGTATAGAGGTCTAAAAGAACCGAAACCAAACAATATGTGAGAATAGCACAAAGAAGCCACAATATCAAAGATGGAACAATAATGTGCGTCTCTCTCTGATACAATATTAGCGACATGCGCAGTTAAAATGCATTTGTGATGCGTTAGCTATAACGAAACACCAAAAAACACATATCACAGGTGGCTCTCAAGAAAACATATATAATACATAGTCGTGGCCCGGTTGTAACGTAAAAAGGACATCAAAGCCGGGGATCATGAACGCACATATGTGCTCATGTCCACGGATCTAAAAAAGTTATTGATTTTGGTGCAGTAGCTACTCAAGCCTGCATAGTTCTGTAGCCCTTCCCTCAATCCTTCGTCTCTCCCATCTTCAACCCTTTCGTCTTCTTTACCCTCTCCCTTTGGTTCGCTTTCTCCCCGGCGACTTGCGTGACACCAAAGGCCCATTCACCATGGCAACCTCGGGATTGGTGTTTGAGGCATCCGACACTGAGGTAGCCGCAGACACCATCACTTGTCCTTTACAGTCTCCATTCAAGACACTGCCGCACAATCATAACCCTAAGTCCACCACGCCCTTACTTCAGCGGCGGAGGACTCCGCTTCGTCTGGATCCGACTCTGACACCAGCGACCACCATGCCCCCAAAAGGCGATGGTCGTGGCATCACCCTCAAGCCCAAGACTCTAGGAGCCTCAGGCCATGCTCCCACTCCACAAATGACACCTCAGACTCCGATAGCATGGGCATAGACACCCATGCCACCCCGCGCGCCAGAGATGGTGCTGACTTCGCCATCGACGTCACAACTTTTGCGGCTCCTGCCCCCACGACCGTCCCACACGGAGGCGGCCCCCATCAACCGCTTTAACTCGCGCTCCATGGATCCGCCACAAACCATAGCCATGGCGCTTAAGGTATGCCATAGTCATTTTTTAATCACACGCCCACGTGAGCCGTGAGCTGAGTGACAATGACAGGAGGTTCTCATCCTCCGAGTGCCATTAGTGAAATTTTACTGTGGCCAAGAATTGTTTACGAAGGAAATATGGTCGTAATATGAAGATTCTTAACAAAAAAAGTGAAACGTGTAGCTAGTGATTGATAAAAAGAATTTCGCTCATATAGAAAATGGCCGATGCAATCTCTCAGTTTGAATTGAAATGAATAATTTTACATTTTTTTTCTGGAGGGGTGAAGATGATGACGGGGCTTAGCTCACAGAAAGGGGCCAGAGATGACGGCTTATATCTCAACTTAAAATGAATAACTTAATAGCTCTCTATTAAGTTATGAGTATTGGTGTCTTGTGTGTGGCTTGTGGTTTACAGAATGACACAATACATTTGTGAGAATAAAATATACATAAAATACTTGGTGAGTGTCGGGACAGTCGAAATATTAAACAATTGGAAGTTGGTGGGATGATTAATGATGCGGTGTAGCTCTCTCTAGTCCATGGACGCGCCTTGGCCTGGGGCGGCCGAGGAGGGGATGTAGATCTGACGATCTGACGGCTCTTAGCTGTCGCTCAAAAAATGCTATATTACAGGCACCTGAAATACAGCAAATCCGATCCTATATTCAATTTCTTAAAACATGTAATAATGTATTAATTGGCCAAGAATGAAGAACTCAACACAAGTTCCTAAACAGCCAAGCTTCCAGGCACAATTGTTGGTCCCAGATACTGTATTTAGAGCATACTGCAGATAAACCCAACTCAGTGACCATCCAAGCTTCCAAGCACATTTACAAAGTCACAGAAGGACTTTTCTACGAGGCTGAAGGTCTAAGTAGGTGACAGTTTCGAGTTTGAGCATAGCAGGCAAATGTTCAGCACTGCGCTCACTAGTGTGGCTGTTATATACACATGCGGTTCAGGCGGAGTACCATCCGCCTTCACTGCTAAAATATATGCAGTGGACTAGATAATTAAAATCCATAAAAGATCGCTACATGCTTCCGAGACAAGAAGCTTCGCTGCCGTCATCATCTAGCTTGGGTTCTTGGAGACCTGAGACGCCTTTTTGGTTCGCCTCACTTTCTTTAGCTCAAATTCATAGACAAGCCATGAGTTTGCTTGTATCATTCCTACTGCTCGGTTCCCATGGCTGAAAAAAAAGAAGGCAATTAATGTTCTCCAACAAATGTTCACATATTGTGACATGCACCAGTGAAATCGAAGATGGAGGGGAATAATGCACTCACCCCAGAGCCGGAGGTATGGTCACTTTCCTTTTGGAACCAACACGCATACCTACATGGCACATAATAAAGATATATTTGGAACAAATCATTTTGAAAGGATGAGACCTGAGGTTTAGAGTAAAGATGGTAACCAGAAATCCCGGCATCCCATCCAGGAATCACTTCTCCAGCACCTGGAGCCAAAAAGGGAAAAGTATTGTGAGAATCTGTGGATTCCATGTATGGGGGAAAAATTTGAGCCTTTTCAATTCATTTACCAAGCTTGAATTTACGAATGGCCATTGGGTCAACAATTTGGCCATCTAGCAATTTACCAACATATTCCACAGTAACCTGCAAAAGAAACCTTATTATCGTTAACTTGAGTAACCTGAGAAGGAAATATGATATTGCAAGTACATATTGACATATCGCAGCAATAATATTTGTTTTCCAAGGGAGAGACAGAGCATGATACGATAAATATACCGGTTTTAAATAAGATTAGTTAGAGACAGAGCAGAATAAAGGCCCTATGAATTGATGAATGATAAAAGTACATTGAAGATGACCTTGCTGCCATTAGATGCAGTGGATTTGCCGTCTCCCTTATAAAACTCCTCTACTGACACCCAGTTATGTTGATTAGTAGCACTGGTAAAAAGGAATCCATCATCCCTAAGAAGATGAAAATTGAAACATATATGCTGTCCACATACATAATTAGGAATCAATGTAATTTAACAAGATGAGGTTACCGGCTCCATTTAATAACATAATTTACCTGGTTGATTGACCTGTAGCACCAACAAATTGAGAAATATTGTCTTGTGTAACCTCATGATCTTGAGTAGGCATAATATGCATTACGTTGGAGTCCCTGTTGAGCACAAGAACCTTTGTATTATCTAAAACAGAGCAAGATATACTTTGCAATAATCATCAAATGTACCGCAACATTTAGGCAAATGTTGTTCTACAAAGAATAAATAATAGAAGTGACTTAAATTTAAAGTATTTTAGAACATATACTTACATGATTTTATGATCATTATTGTTATCACTTAATAATGTCCCCATCCCTGGACTTTTGTACTTCCTCCTGCTAGAAGAAAATAGTGCTTCAGTACACAGAAAAGGGCTAAAAAAATTTCAAGCAAGAAGAACAAATGTAGGTTGGAATTAAATAAGATAACTGAAAAAAATCTAATACACTGAGTTCAAAATTAAATACTTTGTGGTAGCCATTCTCTTCTTATGAGCAACAAGGACAGGTAGGTGGTCATCATTGTCGTCATCTTCACCTACTACAGGCTGCTTTGCAGAAGCAGCATTCTTGCCACTAGCCTCACTAATTATAGGCTCTTCTGGGGAAGCATCATTCTTGTCATCAGCCTTAGTAACAATGTCTTGTGCGATCTCATGATCTTGAATTGGCACAGTATGCACTACACTGGACTCCCTGTTGAGCACAAGAAGCTTTGTATTATCTAAAACAGAGCAAGAGATACTTTGCAATAGCCTTAAGAGCCAACTGAAATAAAATGAATCCCATGTGGGGACCCCGCGGTCAACTTATTTAAAAAACAAAGTCAAATGTTGTTCTACCAAGAAAAAACAGTAGAAGTGACTCGAATTTAAAGTATTTTAGAACTTACACTTAAATGATTGCATAATCATTATTCACAACCAGAATCTAGAACTTCTCCTAGTGATGTGGGGTTCTCCAAATGTTTTAGCATTCAACATTTAGTATAAACTTTCCCTACCAAATGCCTCCTAGTGAGGATTCCCATGTGCTATGACTAGTGATAGTGTTTTATTACTACTTAAAAACACTAGAACTCCACCATTTTGGTAGTGATTTTGACCACTTAACACAGAAAAGAGCTACTGAATTTCAAGCTAGAAGAACAAATGTAGGTTGGAATTAAATAAGATAACTGAAAAAAAATCTAATACACAGAGTTCAAAATTAAATACTTTCTGGTAGCCATTCTCTTCTCATAAGCAACGCAGATAGGTAGGTGGTCATCACTGTAATCATCTTCACCAACTATAGGCTGCTTTGGAGAAGCAACATTCTTGCCACCAGCCTCACTAATTAGAGGCTCTTTCGAGGAGGCATCATTCTTGCCATCAGCCTTGGTAACATTAGGCTCCTTGAGAGAAGGCTCTTTATTTCCATTAGCCTCATTGCCTTGATGCTTTCTTTTCAAGCATGCAGGAGTTTCAGTTTTACTAGCAAGTTTATTACTAGTGTGGGCTTGATCATCACTGGCAGAATGATTGTAAATTCTTCCTAACAAGTGAATAGAGCTACTCCCAGAAACTGAGAGGAAGACACTTTCTCTCTCCTCGTATTCAATCTCCAGGTCCCAAATGTGGTTCGTTGGGTTCAACGCACAGATCCTCACAGGATTCATATTGCCAACATTACACTCCAGTATGCTCCAGCCAACATCAGCATAACTACCTAGCAACGCCTGAAAAGTAGATCACCAAAATGAAATCATGCTTTAAATAGTGAAGGGAATTTAAGCAAGGGTTCTAGTGTTCAGATAGAAGCACTAAACTACTACATTTCCATGCATAATGACAGGGAATCAGGGAAGAAATTATTATAATAAAATGTGTGACTTTATTTATAATGATCAATGGGAAAGGATAGTAACCTTTATTGCCTGTCTGGATCTCCTAAAAATTACAAGAATAAGATCCAAACAGGTGGATTCTAGGGGATTCTTTTTATATAATCCAACCACTAGATTCTCATAATCCAACTATCCACCACAACCCTGTTATTTGGAGATAACAAATCCAACCAACTAGTATCTCTATTAATAATCTAGGATCGAAACAGATCTCATTCTTTATCCAGAATCCAGATTCTCTTAATCACTATCTAGAACCTAGATCCTCATAATCCAAACAGGCCATTAATTTTTGTAGTCTATTATAGGACATTGTTAAGCTGGCAGTGTACTCACATGATACTCAAGCACTGCACCAAATCCGTTCCGTGTATTTTCCCAACATTTGAGTTGCAGATGACGAGAAAATTTCAATTATGCAAAAATGCAACTAAGAGAAGTTACGATTGTACAATAGAACTAGCTAAAGATTTGCAATGAACAAAATAAAAGAAATTATGATTGCACAACAGAACTAGCTAAGTTTCACATATCAAGCCTATACAAATAAAAAGAAACTATGATTGCACCCACTACCTAAAGATTTTAAGTGTGAGGCACAAGTGCATAACTTAGGGGGAGGTTGAAGAGTAATTCCTATGAACAAATTGATCAACAACAAAGACCAGATTTTGCACTGCCAACCTAGTTATCGGTGTGGTTTGAGAAATTACAGACGACAATAAAATTTTGGTATATATTGTGACATGCTTTCAAGATATGGGGAGAAAATATTTCTGGAATGGAGCACTGTGACTGATTTTACAAGAAATATATGTTTCCACAAGCACTAGAAATACACTGATTTTGGTATATGTTATGGCATGCTTGAAAATATGGATAAACAAGAAGCTTTCAAGTTTTAGCGAAGGGAGATTTTAAGGTATGCCACTTTCATAGGAGACATTGGTTTCCTTTGATCGAATGGCTAGGATCTGCTATTACTTTAAAGGGGATAATATATTATTTTGACCTTCTAAAGGTTATTGCAGTCACTGCACCTTTGTTGCATGTTAATGGGAAAGCATCCCATAGAAATAATCAGTAAATGTAATGACTGTCACTCTATATCTTTAGAGGAATTATTATTATTGTGAAGAAATGTCTATACATGTCAAAATTTTCAAGGACATTATTAAATAAATGAGTGAAATCACACCATGTAACAACAGAAAGCAAAAAAAGTTTATAATTGAGTCAATACAGATATAAAATTATTATTATGTAGGAAAGTCTAATATGCTTTCAAAATAAAATTTGATAGCCTATGTGGTTTGTAAAATATTATCTAGCCGGTTGCAAATTTAAGGAATGTAAGACTTAACTTCCCTCCAATAAAAGGGCGTACCCAGTGCAGAGAGCTCCCGCTCTGTGCGGGGTCTGGGGAAGGGTGTCAGTGGCAAGCCTTACTCTCGCCTGTGCAATGCGAGGAGACCGCGATTCGAACCCGGGACCTTCCGGTCACAAGCGGTAAGACTCTACCGCTTGCACCAGGCCCGTCCAATGTGTTCCAAAATTTTAATTCAGACACTATTTCGGAGTATGTATAATTTCAAATTGCAAATTATAGTACAGAACGCATATCCTAAACAATGTGATAGAACTCAAAGCCATGACTTTGTGGAAAACTGAATCTGAAGATCGATGTGCTCACACTTCGTACTGAAGATCCGCTGAAGGAAGTCTAATAATGATCAATGCTTTGATTAATGACAGATGTGATTAATTTGCAAAATCATATAAACACATTAATGCGACACGTGCTTACAAATTATTAATATGGTGACAACCATGTGGTGGCTTACAAGTGAGAGATACTAACTAGCTGCCATTCCAACAGCTGGTTGTAGCAGACAATCAAGGAGTAAAATCTAAAATCTGTGCAACCAAAATGATTTTTTTTCCTTACAAGGAAAATAATTTTCCTCTGTTGACTAGATGTGCCGTTTTTATCTCCAGTTGTTACAAATCAAAATGTGAGCACAGCTAACTACTAAAAAAAAGACAGATTACTTCGGCGTGCAGTGTGGACCCAATTAAAAACACGGGTTTCTTCTCCATCTGTGCGTGCAACAACATGGTTGAGCTTCTGCAAGCATCGTTGTACAAAAATAAAAGGAGATATGCAACCTAAGTGAAGGGGCCTAGAGAAACCCAAAGAGGCCATGAGCGAAAGAGACGGTCCACCTGGGTGATTCGGAAGCGGCGGCCGGGGGAGGGCTGGTGGATGTACGGCTCGCCGGGCTTCACTTCCACTCCTGCGGCCAAGGACAGCGGCAAAAATCAAATCCAAAGCAAATTAAGATCAATTAGCAAGATTGGTTGCAGGAATCAGGAAGCAAAATGTTGGGAGCTAGAGACTGGAGCGGTGATGGAAGATGAGCGCCTTAGCTGAGTAGTACCCCAGAAGGTCATGGCGACCTCGAGCGTATCGGCCGGAGGGGAAACTGCGATTGGAGGGAGCGAACTGATCGTGACCCTTCGCTTGGTTTGCGGAGGAGGACGGGGTGACGCCTCCAACTCCTCTGCCGGCGCCGATATAGCGCACGGCGGCGATAAGACGGGGACCGCCTCAGCGCTCGGCGGCGGGATTGGAAGTGAGGCCTCTCCTTTCCACCATCCCGGATTGGGAAGCAGCGAATGAACAGGGGAAACGCGAAGAAAACGGGGAATAGAAGATGGAAGATGGAAGCCAAGCGGCCAAGCCAAAACAACCCACAATTATTTTTCGCGGGAAACTCCGCTGATGTTACCGCCAAAAAAATATACTGTATATATCTAATTAGAATAATGGAGTAGATGGAAAATTAATTTTAGTACAGTGGAAAAGACCTTTTTTTCGCACCACCAAACAGTTGCCATTTTTTCCACGGAAAGAAGAACGGCTCGGTCTCCCTTCCGCAAATAATTATCACATGAAATTCTCCTTAAAGGAACTTAACCTCTTAAAAATTAATTTATCCTTACAAACTACAAAAATATTAAAAGAGTGTGTTCTTTGTGGTTCTCTGATCTTTTTAAAATGTAAATTTTCTAAATAGTGTTACTTTCATAATAATTGTAAAACAATGGATTCTAAGAGCTCATTAGATTAATACTTCATCCGTTTTGAATTATAAGTTATTTTAGTTTTATCCTAAGTCAAAGTTATCTAATTTTGACCAGAAAAATATTTCTCTTTTGATTTGCTATCAACTTAATCAAAGCTATAGAAGTCTGACTTAGATAGAACTAATTACTTATTATTTGAAACGGATACTGTTAAAAATTATTTCTCTTTTAGGAGGAACATGTTATTAGAAATTTAATAGTTTATTGAAACTGTTACATTATGCAATCAAGCCGAACTGTAATAATTGTGTCGGTGCGAAAAGTGACCAACTAGTAAATATTTGTCGTTTTGCCATACGTTGTGATCGGATGTGGCCTAGCACTCAACGACATAAGGTTTATACTGGTTCAGGCAACGTGCCCTACGTCCAGTTTGAGCCGGTCGGTGACTTTATTCCTGAGCCCAGGTGCTCGAAGTTTGCTGTGGGGTTACAAACGAGTGGGAGTAAGATAGGGGGTATCAGAGGGCCGGTCAAAATCTGGACCGAAGGACCGAGAGTGACGGGAGCTCGAACGTGCGCTAAGTGTTCGAACGTATGCTCTGTCTGGCTTTAGAGTTTTAGAGCCAAGCAGAGAGAATCGAAATCATTTGTCTGAATCATCGAATCGATTCCCCTTTTGGGAGAGGGTGCATCCCCTTTTATAAATGAAAGGGACGACCTTACAAGTGAGAGAGAGAGGGAGTGTGTGCTACCTAGTCTTATTGCCCACGCCGTGGGTACGAGACGGTTTGTCGGCGCCTACAATACTGTTGGCGCCCTGATGCATGTGGTTGGTTCTATCGTGTTCTTCTGGTATGGCAAATGTCGGCGCCTACCATACTGTAGGACAAATGTCGGCGCCCACAACACTGTTCGTGTTCTATCATGTCTGGAAGGTTATAAAGTACCCTTCTGACATGACCGGACAGTACAGTCCTGCAGGCATGCAGGGTACGGTCCTCGGTATTGCGGTTTGACTTGAGAGCCCCGCCTTACTTGCTCTGTCCCTTTGTTGGGTTTTCACTGAGCGGGCGTCCCCGGTCGGTCGTTCCCTAGTTGGCTCCTGCCTCCCGGTCAGAGAAGAGTTGTAAGTAGAGGTTCGCTGTATTCCCGGTCGGAGAAGCGGGTCGGAGTCGGAAGCGAGCGTCACCCTTTGTGGCCAGGCCTTTCGGTCGGAGAAGCGGGTCAGAGTCGGAAGCGAGCACCGTCCCCTCTTGGCTAGGCCTTCCGGTCGGAGAAGCGGGTCAGAGTCGGAAGCGAGCGTGGCCCTTCGTGGCCAGGCCTCCTGGTCGAAGAAGCGGGTCAGAGTTGGAAGCGAGCACCGTCCCTTCTCGGCCAGGCCTTCCGGTCGGAGACTGGATCGCTCTTCCGGCCTATCGTTAGGCATTCGGGCCGGCCCAGGAGTTGCGCGTCGTTCGCAATATCGTATGCTGGGCCGAGCTTTTGCTAGGAAGTAGGTCCACTAGGGACCCTGGGTTTATGCACCCGACAGGAGCCCTAGAGCCCCTGGGTGATTCAGGTAGAATCGTTTGGGGATTTTTCGTTTTGACAGCGGGTGTAGCCCTCGAGCCCCCGGGCGATTCGGGTAGAATCGTCCGGGGGTTTCGTTTTGGCAGCAGGGGGATTTTTCGTTTTGACAGTGGGTGCGCGCGAGCGCACCCGTAGGTGTAGCCCCCGAGCCTGCGTTAGACTAGTGAGTCAGTTGGAGGCTAAGCATCTTGGTACTCTTTCCTGGGGCCACAGACTGCCGTTCGGGGTGTTTACCCGTGTCTGTACCGCCCGCGACCTTTACGGTCGGTTTATTTCCTGAGTCGGTGTCGGGCGACCTGAGCCCCCGAGACCCGTTGGGTTTGGTAGGGGTTGGTCTAGTTCCATGCGTTACCCCGTCCACGGTTTCCGCAACTGGAGGGGCTGAGCTAACGTTGCTTGCCTCGATGGCTCGAGTGACGCGCTCGGTGAGCTCGCTAATGGGCACGCTCAAGCGGAATCTGGGTCCGTCATTCATGACGGGGTCAGCATAGCCCTCATGTGGCATTCCGCTGCTCCTTAACCCACCTCCCGGCAGATGCCCGACTCGTTCCGGAGACCAACTCAGGTGGCCCGCTGGCCTCCCCTCGATGGAGATTCTGTGGGCATGGCTCGAGGTTAGGATCGAACAAAAAGGTTGAGATGACCCTGTGTGCTTCTGAGCAGATTGGGAGAGGGCCACTGGGGCTCATCTGCATTTTCTTCCCTAGCTTTGTTTGACGTGAGGCGGCCTCGAGCCCTTCGCGGGCCGGCCTTCGAACCTCGGTCGGTCGTTGCTCACGTCGAGTGAGGCAACTACCGCTTCGTGATGCAACACGAAGCGTTGTGATGCATCAGTTGCATATGCGATGCTTTGGATGTATGGGATGAATGAATGATTGTATGAATGAGTGTGTGAATGCGTGTATGAGAATGGATGAATGATCACGCATCAGAAAAATGAAGTAAGAGGGTTTGGTAAAGTTACCTTGATGACTTGAGTGACGAGTTTGAGGAGTTTTTACCGGATACGTCCGAATGGGATCCGTGTTGGTCATTCGTGACGGAGATGGCATGGCCGACATGGGGCATCCCACTGCTCCTTGCCTGTCTCTCGGCAGTCGCCTGAGCCGTCCGATCGGCTTAGGAAGCCCATTGGTCTCTCCTTGATGGAGATCCCATCGTTGGGCCCTTCTAAGTCCGGCTTGGGAAGGCGGAATGCCGTCTACATACGGTTGTGCCTTGTTTCCCGCGCCTGGCGTGCGGTAGTGGTGGGCCATGCCTAGGCCACATCTCATCTAACCAGGTGTCATTTCGTCGGGCAGGGAGCGTCCCATCAGTCAGGACGTGTCCCACTGTATCCCATCCGCATTGAATGGGGGAAGGGAGAGGGTTTTTTGCCCCCAATCCTTCTCCTTTCTCCAACCACCGCGTCTCCTCCTTAAATAGGGAAAGGGAGAGGGTTTTCGTCCCAATCCTTCGCCTATTCTCCAACTGCTGCTCTTCCTCCTTCTTCCTTTTCGCCAAGCACATTTGTGTGCCGTGGTGGTTCCTAAGTGAGAGAGGGTGAAGCGAGGGAGAAGAGAACTCATAGATCCATTCGTGAATCCAGAGCGTAATGTTGAGTTGGAGGCCATCGAACATAGATGAGACGGTGCTAGCCGCCTTCGTTGAGAAGGGGCTACTTCAGCCGAAGAAGGTGGCGCACTGGAGGGCTCCTATGGGGGAGGCTTTTCCGCGACCTCAGGCCGGTGAGGTCATCTCCTTCCTTGCCTTCCATGAGTGTGGGCTAGGTTATCCCACGCACTGGTTCCTGCGTGGGCTCCTCAATGAGTGGGGCCTAGAGCTGTAGCACCTCAATCTGACTGGGGTGCCGCACATTGCCAGCTTCATCGCTGTCTGCGAGGCCTTTCTTCGGGATGGAGCCGCACGTGGACCTCTTTTGGTGGATCTTCACTGGACGAGCCTTGTCGGAGGGGAAGCCACCCAAGAACGTGCCGGTGGGGGGTTTCGCCCTGCAGAAGAAGTCGAGGCCGTCGGGCTCCTACCCCGCGTATACCCCCTGCGACTCCAATCGGGGGTGGCATGGGGAGTGGTTCTACATCAGGAACCCGGCGGAGGCGCCGTTCCCGCCGTTCACCGGAAGGAGGCCGGAGAGGCGGGATAGCTGGTCATGGGGGCTCACCAGTTGACAAAACAAACTATAGGTCATTGAGGTGGAGCTCCAGAAGCTGGTGCAGCATGGCCTTAACAAGGTGCGGGTGTTCCACACCTTCTTTCGCCATTGAGTCACCCGTTGGTGGAGAGGAGGCGACCGATGTGGAACTACCTGGGCCCGACAGACCCCGATCGCACATCGTTGGAGGAGTTGGCGAAGGATGAGGTCTAGAGTCGGCTCGACCGGGTGCTACAGCTGAGGGCTAAGGAGTCCCTCGAAGGGAAGCCCAGACCCCTCCACGCCTCGAGGCTGTCCACTCTAGTACGCTCCCTTCTCCTTATTCCGTACCATTTTCTCTTTTGCTTTCCCGTATTTTGACTTCGAGTCATCTATTTTCGCAGGGACTCCAAGGGGGCCGGAGGGCGTGGCTCAGCAAGCCACCCTGAAGGAGGCAGTGGATGGTAGGAAGAAGAAGAAGAGAGCTGAGAAGGCTTAGAGGAGGCACCAGAAGGAGCAGGAGATCGCCCGACGTGTGTGGGCCGGGGAAAATAGGAGTGACATGGAGGTGGAGCTCAAGTCGAAGGAGCCCACGGAGTTGGGTGGCGACGCGAGCTCCTTTGAGGATGGAGACCGAGACATCATCGCAACCTCGTCAGAGC